TCAACTCAGCATTGAATCCACTTTCCCTGCAATAACTCCATGACAACACCAGAGATAATCCACATACATTAACTTTCCCGCTGAACAAAGTTTATTTCTTTGGTTTCCAAAACATATATAAAATGGCATTTTTAAGCCATTGCATAAAAATTGTTAATGAAATGAATATTCCCCATCCCCTCTCCTTCAAGAGGCTATGGCTTAACTGAGCCCATCTTCTGTGAGTGATTCCACATCATTTTGAAGTCTCACTGTTATCAGATAGCATTTGAGGTTGGGCTCCAATGGTTTGGTCATGGTCTTTTTGTCAAGTATCTCCAAACTAATATAATCTTTGGACTTGTTCCTATGGCTTGATGTGGTTTTTCTTTGTTTGAACTTCTTCCCAGCTGGTACTTTATATTGCTGTCAATATCCCCACGTGCAGTGATACTAGGCATCCTTAAATGTGCTTTTCCTAATGTGCTATTCTCTGCAAATGAAGCATGCCTGAGCTCATTAAAATTGTTTGCAAAGTTGGAGTAAATAAGCTCTAAGAGAAGAACTAGAGGGATTCCCTGCTGTTAAGTCAGTGACTCTAACATGGGACTTTATATAGCGGCTGCTTCTGGGTTTGGGAGAGCCTTATCTTTTATCGCCCCTACCCCTTGGCTTTTTCCATTCTTTTTGTTTTAGCATTTAGGGAGGTTTTGTTGTTGTTCTTTCTTTATTTTTTGAGACAGGGTTTCATTGCATAGCCCAGGCTGGCCTAGAACTCACAATGGAACTCATAAAGCCAAAACCAGCCCTAAACTCCTGGCAATCCTTCTGCTGTGGTGCCCCCTGGTGTTGAGATTACAGACATGAGCTACCATGTCCAGCTCTACTTTCTTTTCTTTTTTTTTTTTTTTACACTTTTTAAAATTATTTATTTAATAACCACATAATTAGAAGAAGCATTTCATTACAGCATCATTGACATATTCAATAACAATTTCCAGAGCTAAGATGCATCTCTTTCAAAATTGGCTGTAAATTTTTAGGTTTACAGTTGAATTAATACAGTTATACAATATTGTACTCAGTATAAACCCTATAAGACATAAAATTGAATGAGGTTTTAACCTTTAAAAATACCTCCATTTCATTATTAAAATACACAGTTTTATACAGAAAAATTCATTTTTAATGCAATTAACACTAAGATGTTTACACATGCATTTCTAATCTCTATATATCTGATTATTACTAGTCATAGTCAGTTACTTTCTGAGATCCTTGGCATCTGAGCATGGATATAATGACATCAGGTAAATTTCAATGGTAATGTTTTTCAAAAGTGGCTGTAAAATTTTAGATTCACAGTTGAATTAATATAGATATACAATATTGAAATCAGTATAAACCCTGTAAGACATAAAATTGAATGTTTTTACCCTTTAAAGATCTCTATTTACCCTTTAAAGAGGACCTCCATTTCATTTTAAAATATGCCATTCCCTACATTTTTAATGCTACTAACAGATGTTTGCACATGTGTCTTTAGTCTCTATGTATCTGATGATAACTAGTCACAGTTGGTTACACTCAGATCCTTAGTACCTGAGTAGGGATATAAAGTCATCAGGTAGATTTCACTGGTAATGTTTATCACCTCTACTATTTAAGATGAAGTAAATTTTTATGCTTCCTCCTCAAATAAAAGTCTTTTTTTTTAATTTGTTGATTTTTGTGTGTGTATATCATACAGAACACCCCACACTGTCTTATTCATCTATATACCGACTTCCCAAATGGCACCCTCCCATAGCCTCCAACACACTGGAGCCCATATACTCCATCATCCCTGTTACTGTCCACTGTATTGTTGACACCCCCAGCCATTCTCCAGTGCTTGTCCATCTGCTGAGTCTAGTCAGCCTATCTAGAGATCCTTGTTTGAGGAAGATCAGCTCTTCCTCATCTAGCAGCAATCAGTGGTCAATATTCCTTTAGGTAAGATTGGGGTCTGCTGTTCATTTTCCCAGCTCTATGCTGGGTTACTGTCTAGGAGCCTTTTGGGCCACTCTGGCCAATAACTCAAAGGAAGGTATCGCCTCTCTGGCATTGTTTCTTGTTATGTAGCCTTTAACTATACATATGGACTCTTAAAAATTATATTGACCCCATTAATCTTTGGTTATACTTTCCTTTGGGTGCTTAAGATCCTACAGTTGGCCCAGATAAATTTATTTTTACTCTTAAGGTACTTTGAGGATCTGTTCCTCAGGGGTCACATGGGCTTGGGAGGAGGCCCTGGCTCCTTTTACCAGTTCCATCTATGTGAAGGTAAGTCAAAGGTCCTACTCAACCATGGTGGGCTTCGCTAGGAAGCATGGAGGAAATGATTCCTCTGTGTTGACCTTCCTCTTTGTAGACCGGACACTGGTTCAGGTCCATCTGGTGGGGTCTCCATGGCCTCCTTGATCAAGAGGACAGGTGACTCACCACAATTACAGGACATTTTGAGAGATGTTCATAGTCCCCTAGAACTTAGTCAACATAGGATGGCAAGGAGTAAAAGCTCTCCTTTGTGTCATCCTGACCAAATTAGTATAGGCCTCAAAGTATGGCTGTTAAACATCCAAGAAGGTTCATTCCACCAGTCTGGTACTTTTAATTACCATATGCCATGTAGATAGAGCTTGGGAAAAAACCAAATGCTCTCAAATAAACCTTGCCTAGACATATATTACATTCTTTGAACTGGTTGTATGTATAATTTGTCAGTAGGTTGTTGGCCCTCTGGTTTTCTAAAACTAGCTAGGTTTTATTTATCTCTTACATTGTCTAGCCCTTCCACCAAGGTTTCCCCATTTAAGGTGCCCCTGTTTTTCCTATTTCTCCTTTAATAATACCCTTCTTCTATGGTCCCACCTCTCTTGAGCTCCTTCTTTCCCTTTATCCCCTAGGTTCCTTGTATAACCTTCCCTCCCACCTCCCCTTAAAATAACCCCATTATTATCCCTTGTTAACACCCGTTTTCTACTGTTCTTTTCTTTCAGATTCTTACTTTTCCTTTACTTCCCTGGTTCCTTTTCATTATCCTGGTTACTGTAGTTATGTCTGGATACATATTCACTTATAAGGATTTGGTGCTAGGATCCACATATAAGAGAGAACATACGTCGTTTTTTGTTTTTTCTGAGTCTGTGTTACTTCACTTAGTATAACCATTTCTAGTTCCATCCATTTACCTGCAAACTTCATGATTTGATTTCATCTTTCTTTACTGCTGAGTAAAATTCCATCGTATAAATGCACCACATTTTCATTATCCACTTGTCAGCTGAGGGACACTTAGGTTGCTTCCATCTCTTAGCTATTGTGAAAAGAGCAGCAACAAACATGGATGTACGATTGTCTCTGCAATAGGATGAGTTCCTTGGGTATATGCCAAGGAGCAGTGTAACTGGGTCAAATCGTGGGTTCTTTTGTAGGGATTTTTTTTTCAGTCTTTTTAGACTGGGTCTCCCTGCAGCCGCAGCTGTAATGGAACTCACTACGTAGACCAGGCTTGCCTTGATCTCACAGAGATCTGCCTACCTATGTCACCTGTGTGGAAATTAAAGGTGTGTGCTACCATGTGGTGGTAGTGTCTTAAGAGTATTTTTTATGAGCTGGGTGTGGTGGTGCACATTTTTTAATCCCAGCACTCGGGAGGCAGAGGCAGGCAGATCTCTGTGCGTTCAAGGCCAGCCTGGTCTGCATAGCGAGTTTGAGGTCATCTGGGGCTACAGGGAGACCCTGTCTCAAAAAGACCAAAAAACAAAACAAACAAATGTGTGTG